GCGGCCGAAGGGGCGGCCCGCGGTGGGCCCAGCCAGCCTGACTGCCCGCTCCCCCGGGGCATTGGGTGCCGGGCTTACTGCTGTGCCGGGGCCAGGCCCAGCACACATCCGGTCCAGCAGCGTGACTCTCGAACGCGGGAGGGCGGGTGCCGGGCTTACTGCTGTGCCGGGGTCAGGCCCAGCACACATCCAGTCCAGCAGCGTGACTCTCGAACGCGGGAGGGCAGGTCACGTGAGGAGCTCTGCACAGACAGACAGACAGACGCTGCTATGTGCTAAGCCTCTGTCCCCACAGCCTTCCCACCGTGTCTGTAACAGGCTGACACACAGGGCGGCCTGAGCTGCTCTTCCGCCGACTCGGCATGTAGCAGGTGCATGCGCTGCCGTCCCTCCAGAGGTAGACCCCACGCAGCCACACACACGCCCCAGGCCAGAGTTACACCCCTCACTTCAGGCAGTGCCGTTGCCTTCGTGGGCACCGGCAAGAAATGGCTTTTTTGGTGGAACCCAGTAAGTCTTCAGGAAGCAGAGGTGGAGTGGAAAATGTCTCCGAGGAGAAATCCAGGAAGCCAGTGTTAGCCTGCCTAGAAAAACGCTTGGCTTCGTGTGTGGGTAGAACCACAGTGAAGAACTTAAAGAATCCCGGAGACAAGCGTGTCGGTGCTCCGGCTGTCCTCCCCTCCCGACGCCTGCCTGCTCTCGGCTCACATGTCAGTGTGGGGGTCTTGGAGAAGTCAGTGTGGGGCACCGACCTGTCCCCCGCAGTTCAGTCACTGGGTTTCCAGGGGTGGCAGCCATTACTGGGTCAGCCCCGCCATCACTGCTCCAAACGCATCACTAACCAGTGCCGGGGCTCCCAGACGGACAAGGTCTGCCCTGAGCCCACTTGTAAGGAAGGTGCTGAGCTGCACACTGCCCTGGACAAGTTTCTCCCAGTCCGTGGCCACAAAGAGCTCATGCATTTTTAGACTCCCAAAGGCCAGCCTGGGAACTGGCAGACGTTAAAAAGTACAATTACTGTAACCATGAGCCCCTGCTGATCCACCGCCCTGCCTCCCCACCTCACCCTCCAGCCCTCCCAAGACTGCCTTCCGGCTTCCACACCAACCGTTCCCGTGGACCTGCAGAAAAGCCTCTGTGACCTGACTGTAATCTACCCCGGATGCCAAAATTCTCATTCTCAATTCTACAATTCTAAATTCTCGAAATTCTCAATTCTGAGTGAGTCCCACACTCACCCCAAGCCTCTCTCTCTAGTTTTCGTTCTAATTATAATGTGAGAAATACCTTCTATGAACACCGAGACCCAAGTGCTTAAAACCTGGCAGACGCATCGAAGCATAAAGCAGGCCCGAGTGATCGGTGTGGAGTGACAGGACGGGAGGTGGCGGCTTTGGGAGTTTCAGGCAGGGCGCTCCCGGAGGAGGGAACGCTTGCCCGGCAGAAACGCTGGTTAACCGCTGTGCTTCCCACACAGGACGAGAACATCATGCGCTCCATGCAGCTCTTCGAAAACGTGATTTAACTCGGGGAACAGATCCTCGACCGCACACGCGTGGACTGTTTGGCCACACCGAAACCCGGAGCTACACTTTAGCATAGATTGCTCAGCTTTACACTGAAGCATATTATGCAGACGAGCTTTGTTTCGATATAAAGCAAACCCCCAACAGACGTGAGTTTTCCCGTTATAAATCTGCATCCTTTTCGTAATGCCACTGAGTCCGTGGGAGGTTCTAGCTCAGCTCACGCTCTGTGCATATTCAGGAGTAATAGAAGCTGGCCTAGTTTTATGGACTCTCTAGCTGTGGGAGGACTGCGGCTTTCACATATCAGTGACTTTAAGACATCGTGTTCTATGCTATCCACGTCTGCGTACTCAGTCGTCAGGTTGTGATGGTTTTCTAAACTAACGACATGTGCATATGATTTCCAGACATTAGTTTTCCTGTCTGTATGCTGGAATTCCATTTATATACTTTGAGTAAACCAAACGAGATTACTACAGTTAAAAGCAAGCAGAGAGTCCCAGTTTCTATAGATTTGCCCCCTTCTGTTAAAGACATTAATTCCCCTAGCATTTTTACAACATTCCACCAGTGAGTTTACACCGGCCGCCAGCGCAGGCCGAGCGGAGCGGACGTTAAGAGCGTCTCCCCGCCCCGCGCTGTCCTGCAGCCAAGGCCTGTGTAAGTCACCTTGGATGTGCTCGAGCTTCCAGGCCGACCGTCCTCTGCTGTAGCATGGAGGGACGTTCAGGAAGGTCTGAAGCAAAGGACGCTCAGACATACGCTGAGGGTCCACGAGTCTGTCCTCGTGTTCAGGAACACTGCGGAACACGGATCCTCAGCAGCACCCCTTCCCTTCCGCATGTTTGTATCACAGGTCCTTCAGGGACAAAAACGCTCGCCGACCCAATGCCTGCTGGGAGTAGACAGGCAGCGGGATTCACTCTGAAAGCACCAGGTATTCCATGACATGAGAACTACCACCAAGATGTAGGTGGAAATGGAAGTGCTGAGCAGCTCACGGGCGTTGCATTATGATTTAGCTCACCATAAAACTCCAATTCAGATTCTTTCTAATGACTTAAAGCCCCAAACTGTAAACTTGCTACAGCATTACTAAGGATACACACATCTTCCGTTTTGTAGAAACATCACAAAGACCACGAGGTTACAGGAGGAGGAACTTGCAAGTGTCTTTGCAACGATGAATCAGGTATCTATTCTGGTGTAGAGAGAGGATTTGAGAGCTGCCCTGCTATCACCAGTGTAGACATTAAGAGTAGTACAGTACATGTACACTGAGATTTGCCATCACGTGTTTGTGTAAACTTAATGTGCACATTTTGTATTTCAAAAAAGAAAAATAAAAGCAAAATAAAATGTTTATAACTCTATGTTACAGGTCTCCATTCTCATAAATGACAATTACATGTAAACCTTATTTTTTCTTACGGCATTGTCTGAATCGTAGCTACCTCTGGGTGGAGCGGGCCGGCATGGTCTGCGTTTGTGACGGGAGCGGAGGGGGGAGAAGGGAGGACGAGCACCTGCATGGTGACGAGCCAATGACAGCTGCGAGACTGTGAAATGAGCACGGGAAGGGGTCACTCGCGGTGCCGGGAGCGGGCGGGCGGGGGTTCCTGGGCCCGTGCGCTGCTGCTCGCTATCAGGGAGAACCTCTCGTCTTCAGCCCTCCCGAGGTATGGGTCTGTTTTGGATTCGGTGTGTCTCAAGTCACTGTGGCTTTTCTTCTTGCCCAGAAGACAGAAAGTCAATTTTTGTTTGCTACTTCTCATCCTCGTTCCTCTCTCCTGCAGAATCATAGCAATTCAATTTGACCAGGGAGAGACAGGAGAGAGAGAGACCGGAGAGAGAGAGAAAGCAAACCGCCATGGGCCACGTGGGAGTCCACCACCTCTAACCACCACACCACCTGCTGGCCCTTAAGATCCTTTCTAAGACACCTCATTGTTAACATAAGTAAACACCACAAAAATCACTGACACGTAAAAATTTTACTATTTTAATTTCTGAATACCTTTATGTGTATATCAGCATTTTCAGGCTACAAAACGCAAAAGTAACATTTACTTAAATACAATTAACACCTAAAGTTTATGTAGTTTTAATGAGTCGTAATGAACAACATAAGTGTAACAGAATTTACACATTTACGAAATTTCTTACAGTAGAATACTTGGGAGAAAATTCTCTATTATAAAACACATATTTAAAAACAACAATAGTGAATTCATAAATGTCCATTATTTAAATTTCAATAGCCTTGATATAAAATATAAAACCTAGGAACAGGAAAATATCCATAAAAAAGTGCAGAGCCACAAACGGATTGCAAAGAGCGTGATATAAGTAAAAAGGTGCCGGGAAATAAATAGCACATCCGAGTTCGTAAACTCCGTCCTTCACGCAGCAGTGACAACATAAAAAATAAACCCCATGAGACTGCAGTATTACAGAAGTTTTAATAGTTCTCCATTACTGATCGGTCCCTGTGTTGAGCAGTTTACTCTGAGGGGGGCCCCACCCTCGTGAACAATGAACAGTGGCCGTGCCTTACAAGAGCATGCACTGAAGAGAGGTTCCGAGGTACCTGTGGTCAGTGCTGGGCACGTCCCCAGGCAGGAAGAGGACTGCTGGGGGCTCTTACTCAACAGCATATGGAACAGTAGGTCGGGATTTTGGATTTGATGACGAAAAGGCTTCCCTGTCAATAGAAAAAAAGCGCATAGTTAGCACCACACGGAGCCCCTTCCATCAGTGCTCACTGCAGAGCAGGCTGAGCACACCCGACCCAGGACAGACAGACAGACAGAGCACAGCATGGAGAAACGCACACAGTTAGCACCACGCGGAGCCCCTTCCATCAGTGCTGTCACTGCGGAGCAGGCTGAGCACGCCCGACCCGGGACAGACAGACAGACAGACAGAGCACAGCATGGAGAAACGCACACAGTTAGCACCACGCGGAGCCCCTTCCATCAGTGCTGTCACTGCGGAGCAGGCTGAGCACGCCCGACCCAGGACAGACAGACAGACAGGGCACAGCCTGGAAGGAGGGACAGGGCTTCCCTCTGGCTGAAACGCAGGCTGCTCCTTCCTTACTCTAAGTCCGAACGGGGGAAGCAGAGGCGCCATGCCACCTGCTCTTGCGTGCAGCCTCCCCGTCACTGCCAGCCTGCACGGCCCACTTCTCTGTGCCCCCCGTTCCCTGAACCTTAAAGTGGGGCAAGGAGATCTGCCGTGAGGGCTGCAGTGGGGACACAGGGAGGGTAAGGTCTCAGGAGGCCCTCGGCACAGCGCCCGCCGCCTAGGAAGTTCTCGCACATGCGGTCCAGAGCAGGCGCCGTGTGTGCGCCTCTGCCCAGACAGACGTGCATGTCCTGAGGAAGGGAGTTCAGTCAGGCACGGTGGAGCCCATGTCAGGTGAAGGCAGAGAATGAAGACGGCTCTAACAGAGAGGCGCTGGCACTGGCACTGTAGTGAATGCTTTCCTCAGAAAAAGACTGAGTCTTTCAGTCAGTGACAAACACAAGCCCTAAGAAATGTCAGACTTATTTCCAAAACTTAAAGAAAGTGACATATAAGCTTTTAAGTTCTTAGAAAAAAAGAGCATTCGTTAATTCCATGGACTACAAAGCACCAAAAGCAAGCATCATAATAGCGACTAGAGAAAGTCTTTATGTGTCACTTTGATAAGCTTCCCATTGCAATTACATTATTATTAAAATATTATGGGGACCGGCAGGTGGCATAGTTAAGGGCGCTGGACTCCCACATGGCCAACTGCGGTTCGACTCCCAGGCCTGGCAGCTTGTTTTCTCTCTCTCTATCCCTCTCCGGTCAAATTAAAATAAATAAAGTTAAATAAAAATAATTATTTTTAAAAAGATTAAAAAATATTATGTAGAATGTAAGGAAAGAACAAGAAAATAAGTCAGAAAAGAATGTTCAATTATGGGCAGATTCTAAGTTTTCAGGCAGGAAAGCTGACAAATAAAAGTGAAAAAAAACAACTGTCCTCAATGAGCTAAGTTAATATTTTGGTCTCTGAACTTTCCAATGGTCAAAACAAACAGTTAAGTACTTGGGAACAGCAGATGGCATAACGGTTATGTCGCTGGACTCCTACATACGTTGAACACATTTGAGTCCTGGACTTAGTGGCTTGAACTTCACACACCAGGAGTGTGTGCGTGGGTGCCCAAAATTCCAAGAGGAGAATGGAGGAGAAGGGACTGTGGCATGGCCATCCCTGAGAGGTGATTTCTCGCTTACTGTCTCTCTCTATCTTTTTGGTGAGTGTACACACCTGATAGCAAAAATCTTTCCAAAAAATCAGCTAAATACTTACAAAAACTCGCTGGGCACAGCAGACACGGCACGCCGTTACCACTCCGGGCTGTGTCTGCACGCCCGGGGCTGGCGTCCTCACTGCAGGACCTGGGACAGACAGACCCTGAGCCCTAACATGAAAACCTCGGCATCAACCTCACACGGTTACTTAAAGCTAGAAACAGGTAATAAGAGGGGACCTCAGAAGCCTGTGGAAAATGGAATTTATTTTGGTGGAACAACTTTGAAACCCATGCATAATTTCTTGTAAACATGTCCCGTTTACTTTTTGAAGACCCCATGTGTGCATTAAATGGAAAGTGAATTTTGTAGCGCGACTAGAGATGATAAAATACCGCAACTGCAGCAGGCTGTGCTACTTACGCCCCCGCAATGCTGCTCCAGCTTCTGCAAGGCACTGGTGACGGGCTCTTTGAATTTCTTGTCCATCAGTCTCCTGGAAAGCTTTTAACGTAAGAACAGGAAGGAAGTGAAACGATCTGAGAATGCAACGATGCCCCCATCGTGTCAGGGAACTTCTGGGCACCCCTCCACTTCTCTCAGATTTCGAGGTGTCTTTTTATACATATGCTAGGCACCGTTACATTCGCTGTAGAAAACAAGGCAGCACATCTCCCCGATCGTAAATAGTATCCATCCTACAAAACCTGCCGTGGCACAGCCTCTGGGGCAGGCTGTGTCTGCACGGCCTGTCTTCCCACTGTGCAGTTGGCAGGGGCATTTGGATGACTAAGCTAGAAAGCTAAGCCTCTAAAACACGTATTTC